AGTTTTTACATACTCGTTGTCCAGAAAAGAAAAGCTCTTGTTCGAACACAAGAAAAAATAACTAAAAAGCTTAATCGTAGTACCTTGTCTATCGTTTTTAATGAAACACACACACACACACACACATATATATATATATATATATAAATACACTAACGACCAAATGTTTGGGATCACATTGATTTTTTCCTCTAAACTTAAAAAAAAGTTTTATGTCTTTAAAGAAATAAATTTATTTTTTCTATGTTTGCATGCAATTAAGTAAGAATTTAAATCAAAATGAATATGAAATAATTATAATTTCAATTAAAGCAAATTTATATTTTCTTTTCTTCAAAGAATCCACTACAAGCATTTATTACTGCAGAGAAAATTCTTGGCATCCTTTCTAGTATCTTGTAAAAGTCTGTTGGTGGAAGTGATTCCCAAGCAGTGTGTAAATGTGTAAACAATTCTTGCTCATTCTTAGGCAGTTCACTTAGAACTTTGCGATCAATTTCGTACCAGATGAGTTCAATTGGTAAAAGATCTGGAGACCGATGGGGGCCAAGTCATGATTTGCAAAATCCTCTTATCTCCCTTTCATTTTAGATAATTTGTACACAGTTTTGAGCTGTGGTTTGGATCATCTTGTTGCAAAACAAAATTTTGTCAAATAATGCGGCAGCCAGAAGGAATTTTTACGAATTTTTTATTAACTTTAAATTGAGGGTGATCTCAAACTTTTCATCGATAATATATAAATATATATATATATATATAAATGTGAGGAGAAGGTGAGCACTTCAACAGTAGTCTGAGTTTTACTGAGTGCACTATGGTTTTGGGTTTTGTGTCAGTCTAAGTTATATAAACAAAAATTAGGATTATAAAGAGGAAAGTGGCATTATCCTTTTACAAAAAGATCTGCATAATTTCAAAGGTCATTGTTTAAAACAGTTTCACGTTGACAAAAAAAATCACTATAGTTATGTCCACTACGCACATTTATCAATACCGAAATCTATTTAAAAATATATAAGACTTAAAAAGATATACGCTCATATATATATATATATATATATATATATATATATATATATATATATATATATATATATATGTATATAGGTAGTTGGGAACATGGTAACGTTACGAAATTCTTTAAAATGGGGTGAGCCTGCCAGCATCAGCATTCGAAATCCGAGTTTTAACTTCACCTCGAACACTGACCACCAGCGTCTGTCTATCTCAGCTACCAAACAATCCTTTATATATATATATATATATATATATATATATATATATATATATATATATAGTCTAATGATGTCCTAAACGTCGAAACGAGTCACACGAATGATTTTTTCCCACTTTTGTCAGAGATTTTTCTAAAATATATCATTACGGTAAACGTCATTTTTTACTGGGTCTAAGTGTTTGTTTTAGACATCCCTGATTTTTTTTCCTGTAGTGAAAATGATGTCTACCGGCCTAGGGAATGCAGCTTCCTTCCCTGTTGAGCTGTACATTTCCTTTAATAAGTCGATGCCTCTACGGCGGTAGATATCAATTTCGCTGTGAAGAAAAAAAAAATTAAACAAAACATGGATGCGTACTCAAACCCATGTACCTAATAAAACGAAATTTGTTGTAATAAAAATAGTGTCGGATTAAAAATAAATTCATTAATTTTTAACACACACACACACACGCACACACACACGCACACACACATGCACGCACGCACACACACACACACATCCACACACCCACCCACCCACACACACACACACACACACACACACACACACATATATATATATATATATATATATATATATATATATATATATATATATAGCAGTCGATTAATTTTCATCATGCCGATTCTAGAGTTTCGTAGACTGGTTCTCCAGCAATCACTCCGTCCACTCTTCAGAATATACCAGCAATATGGGGATCAAATATGAATATGAATCAAATATGAATCGGAATCCGACAGAATGAAAGGATAAAGAAGAAATAAGAAGTATTTATCAATCTAAAATGTTTCACTTCATCAGAATGTTTTCACCGCAGCTCATTCTCTGGAGAAGTTTTAATATATATATATATATATATATATATATATATATATATATATATATATATATATATATGCTGGTGTCAATAAAACAGTAATCGATGTATAATAACTGAGCTAAAATTTATACTGCTAATAAATAAATATATACTTTTTTCCCATTGGTAGGACCGGTAGCAGGTGCTGGTTAAAAACAGACTGTCACTTTTCAATCAGCACCTGACGATTGCATCGTGTATGAAACTCTTAGTTGTACTATCGCTGAAGAAATTTTATTTATTAGTATATATATATATATATATATATATATATATATATATATATAAAAGTGAAGTACATGTGGGAATAATCTATTGCGTCAGTCATTCAAAAGGACATAATGATCCTGCTGTGAAAATTTGTATTAGATAATGTGTTATTTTATTGGCTTTAGGCACAGACAACAGACGCTGGTGGTAAATTCACATTTAATTTAGACATAAAACATGTATATTTGCATTTATGTATAGAAACACACACCTGTACAATATAGGTATATCATAAATCGCCATATATATACGTATATATATATATATCATAAGACGCGCACTGAGATAGCAAGAATTCATTCAAACATATCTTGTTGGAGTTGACTAACAACATTTATTTTTTTAATCCAGTCGGTGTATGAGCGTTCGCATCAACTTCATGACACAACTCCGAAGTTTCGAACTGGAAAAATATATTAAAATAAAAAAAAATAAATCGACAATTCTTGCCAGCCAAATTCAGCAAAACGTATTTGAAATTATACGTAAGAAGATATATATATATATATATATATATATGGTAGATATGCATTATTGAAATATAAATAGGAAAACACTCACACACACAATACTTCGTGGCTATCGTTTTCAGTTGCATTCAGATTGGATAAAAAA